TTACCGCCACAACTGCCGAGGCAGTTGCCAGCGTGCCAGGGCAGAGCGCGGGGTCTGGGAGAGCAGCGCTGCCAGCGCTCCCCGGGGCCGACTGGGGCTCGGCAGCCTTTGTTGCAAGGAAATAAAGCCGCTTCCTCGGCCGGCCGTGACCCCGTGGCACGGGGAAGCCGGCCAGCCCTGCAAGCCTGGGCAAGAGGGCGATGCTGCCAGTACTCAGTTTCTTACTACCAGTATGAGGTTCTGCCAGTAACAGAGAGGGACTTTGATCACAGAAATTCCTCTTCTTTTGATCTTGTCCCTTGATGCATAGTATCCCCTTTAGTATTTTTTTAGGGCTGTGTTCTTTCCCTGGGATTTTTATGTTGTTTGTTACTATGATATCTGAGCACACAAGAGTTTCATCTCTGGATGGATTTTCAGAAGAGCTCCAAATTCAGCATTGGGTTTTTCTTTCAAAATCCAGCCTCTGTAGTGCTCTCTGAACACTGGAAAAATCCGGTCCAAACCTCCTCTGGGAACTCTAGACTTGAGGTTTTCTTACCTGCCTTACTCTAGCTGCTTGCGTTAGGAGTCTGGTCTCCCTGCTGTTCCTCTGCGAGCCCTCTTAGGGGGAGAGCTCCTTGGAAGGCAAGTCAGAGCTCTGGACGTCGGCGACTGTCCTGACTTTCCCTCTGAAGGTGCCCGTCTCTTCCTCCGGTAACGAACAGACCAGCTGCTCAAAGCTGGACAGTGCAGACAATCCCCTTGGTGCCTGCAGGTTTTCTGTGTGCTTCTGGGGCTGGCTGCAGAGCCCCCTAAGTCCACTGAAAGTCTCCAGTTAGGTCTTGGTGGGCTTCTTTCACATGCCTGTCAAAAGGAAAATAGCCCAAGGTCCCCGAGCGGTCTTTGTTTTTGGAAGATGCACTTCCGTGGCCACTTTTCCTGCAGTGGCTCTCCAGCGTTGCAGCCCCTGGAGCACACTGCATGAAGTGCCTCTCCAGCGCTACCGGCGCGAGAGCTGAGCTGCTGTGTCCCGCTAAGGCTGCGCTACAGAGGGTTTGGATTCAATTTTCAACTCAGGTAAAAACAATAAAGGAAAAGGAGAGGTGTAGGTTGTTGGTAGGTCTGGTTCAGCCAGGGAGGGCTTTGTCGTGGCCAGAGCTGCCATGGACGTGTGCGTTCAGCAGCAGGGAAGATGCTGGGCTGTAGCTCTCTACAAAGGGTACTTTCTCTCAAGTTTTGCTGCAAAAATTTGTGTCCCCCTCCATGCGATGTGTGGTGTGTGTGTGCTCTCCTCCTCCCCTCTGCAAGACAAGGCCCTGCTCTTCTCTTGCTGTCGGAGCGCTGCTCCCCAGAAGGGAAAAGGGCCCTTCCCTTCTTCTGTGGAACATCTGTCTGTGCTGACTGCCTTTTGTACTTACTTGTGGCATGTGTCAGATGTTGCTTGGAGAAAAAAAAGACAGATGTAAATCTGCAGGAGAGAAAACTGCTGCTTCAGAGAAGTTCCGCAAAGTGTGGTGGAGCGGTTTGCAGCTTCTGAGCAAATCAGCCGGTCTTTCCGTGGCACTGGGACGGGGGGGCAGCGAGAAAACCCCGGGAGCGGTAGTGCCCACTGGAGCCTTTGGGGAAGAGGAGGGCAGCGGGGGCTGAGAGTGATGGGGACCCTTTCGTTTCTCATAACCCCAACAAGCAAACGCGTACCAACGATCTAGGAAATTCTCTGAAGCAATTTTCTACCTTAAATCTCCAAAGAGTGCTTGGTCTGTAGTAGCACAGGAAACAAAAGCGTTTGAGTTTCAAATCTGCCCGTTTGTGTGTGAATGAATCTTTCATCTTTCCACAAAGCAGAGCGGCAGGCTCGTGCCCTCCCTGCCAGGCTGTTCCTGTTCCCTCCAGGTCCGGTCTGTGCCAGACGGGGCACGGTCTGCCTCCGTCGCCCTCTCCCAAGGGGAGGGGACGTGCTCCGTCCTCCCCTTTCCGAGGGACAGGAACCGATAGGTCAACTTAAACACAGTCTTATCCAGCAACGTCGCTGACACTTTATCTTTCAAGCTTCTGGATTTCTTTTCTTGGTTTTTAAACAAAAACAGCCAAGAAATTCTGCACAATATTTGCTGTCTGTATTAACTGAGAGTGTCTTTGGGCCGCTCGATAGCAGTGTTTTTTGAATAACTTCTGGGGGAAAAAAGTATTTATTTATTGATTGTACATTACTGTGTGTCCTCGTATGCTGAAGTATGTGAGTGTGTATTGTTATGCAAATGGAGATATATCTTTTCAATGTTCTTTACAATATCTTGTAAATGTTTACCAGAAAATTGTGTCTATATATAATATATATATACAGTATAGAGAGAAAATATGTGAATTAAGCGGGTTATTTTTTGATGGGGGGGAGAAGAAATCTTTTGCTTCTAAGAACTGTGTGGTTTCTATAGCACCTATTCCATGATGTGCCAATCTGTCACTGTCCCTCTACTGTGCGAATCGTTCTGGTACGGCAACAGGAAGCTCAGAGCAGAATCACCGTCACGACCTCAGCTTGGCTTGATTTTAGTTCTGATGTTAAAACTGGAAAAGAATTAAAAAGGGAGGGAAAAATAATAATAATAAAAAAGCTTTGTTCTAGCTATGGCGCTGAGTAGAGTCCACAGGAGCCAACCTCTGCTGGAGCTGTGCAGGGTTCCGTGCCTGCGCTGGGTAAGAGCAGTTGCAGAGCTGAGGCTTGGTGTGTGTTGCCAAGAAATTGGATAGTCCATAGAATATGGTATGTCATTTAAACTGGGACTAAAGTCATTCTCCTTTGCGGCTGATGGTACTGTTTTGTTAGGAAGGCGGTACAGAGTACTGCTCTCCTGACCAGCGCCCATCCCGACGGGCTCTGCTGAAGGCCGCGTGCCCCACGCGCCGCTCTCGCCAACTCACGCAAAACTCTGCGAAAACTATCTGTTCCCCCATGGGAACTCGAGTCTCAACTTGACGGTCTGCTTTGTGCTCCCGTGCAGAGCTGAGACAGAAGACGTGAAGGGTTTCCAGGCCCTGCACTGGTGGAGGGTGCCGTTCCCCGGCCGCCCGCCCTGCCCGTCCCTCCCTCGCCGTGCTGGCAGCGTGGGAGCAGGCGGGACGGCGGCTGCGGGAGGTCAGAAACAGGCTGTGATGGTCCCCGTGCTCTGCCCTCCCGCAGCTCATGTTTGCGCGTGGGCCCAGCTCGGTTTCGAGCATCTTATCAGGAGTGGCGGTGGGCAGCGGCTGTGCTCCTTCTGACCCCTCCGGCGCAGCCGCTGTCCCACCGGTGGGTTTATGTGCTGGCGGGGACCCGTAGCGAAGCAACTCTGGGGCTTAAGATCTGCTCGATGGTTAAAAGCTACTAAAAGGTTTTTGTTGTCTGGCTGTTCTTAGTCCTTCTCCCGCCTCAGCCGCTCCTGCCTGGCTCTGTCCCTGCAGTGAAAGCGTTATTCCGGGTTTCCGACGGCGTGAATCCCCGTGGCTCTGCAGGGCGGCCCCGATCCCCCCGGGCTGCGCCGCCGGAGGAGCGCCTCTTTACCATGGAGGGAGAAGCCGGTCGCAGGGGAATGCTTGCCCATATACAGTAATCTTGTCTGGCTCCTTGGGGGAGAGGAATGTCTCATCCCAGCAGCTCCATGCAGCTGACATCCACCCCGAGCAATGGCACTCCAAGCCAGGGACTATCTTTAGCCCGCTGCCGTTCCCTCTGTGGGACCAGGGCCTCGAGCTGCTGTGCCTTCGGACTTGAGGCTGCTGCATCCTTCCTGCCGGGCGCAGTGAGCTTTGCGTCCCTCTTGCCCCCAGCCCCTGTTCTCTGCTCTAGGTCGCTCCAGAGCTGAGCCCGAGTGAAGGACGGACTGCGCGGGCTGAGCCGGTCCACCGCAGCGTGCCCACGCTGAGCACCGGCAGAGGTGTGGGAGGTTTCGCTGCATCTGTTGTTAGAGCTGCTCCGCTCACAGATCATCTCGGTACGTTTAAGTGCAGTGAATGTTTGTGCCCCGGCTCCGGGTTCCCCCGAGAGAGTTACTAATGGATCCTCTTTCTGCATTTGAGCTTTCTGTCGATGCACCCTACCAAATAACTCGTGGTACCCATCTCTTTCAGTGTTACTCATGTAAACACTTTAGAAGTTGTCTCTGTTCCTAAATGTGTGATTTTTATAGGAGTTTTTCTCTTACTGTGGCGAGTCTCTGCATTGCTTTGCTATTAACATTTTCCATGAAGACTGAGAGGATTTTTTGCATGGGAACTTCTGGCTGCCGCCCCGTTCTGCT